TAAATCTCGAGAATTTATTTATTATTATTAATATTATTTTTTTTCGCCATTAAAAGTTTTTGCCCATGCGTCGGAACGGGTAAAAATAAGATTACCCGAACGAATGACGAGAAAGTCCTTCATATTATATGTATAGTATAACTATGATGTTGTATTATAAAAAAGCGTCGTCGTTTTTTTTTATACCTTCTCTTCACCCGTCCAAAGGGCCCGGGACTGTGAGTATTTATAATATAAACACTGGGGAGTGTTGGCCACCCGGTCGACTTTATCCATCACTGTATAATACTGTATAGTGTGAATAGCGATGCAATCCGGTGATAATACATCATCCTGTTATAAAAACAGTATTATTATTCGGGCGGTTATATATCATGGGGTGCTTCGATTTGGTAATACGGATGTGGTAGACATTTTCATAGCAATTTCCGATGTAGGATATTGAAATTTTATTACCCACACACGCACATATTATTCAATTAATAATCCAAATTTCCCGTGAATGAATTATACTAATTTTTATTATATTAAAATAAACATTTAATAAAAATAATTTTTATTAGTAATTATTAATTTATATTAAGTTAATTATCAATATAAAATTGAGTGTTGAATTAATTAGTAACCATAATAGAGTTCGTGATATTATTGAATATGTTTTACTATTCGAGTAGAGTGCGAGGTCAAGTATTCACCAAGTTTGGCTTTAAATAAAATTAATCAACGAGATTGTCCGATTCAACATGGGATGACGATTAGATGGACGTAAGAAAAATACCAAGATAATTTGTTTGTTCTTCGATCCGTTAAACATTTTAAACTTATAAGTTTCTAGTCACCGACATTTTACCATAACGATATTGTATAATTAGTTATTACCACATCTGGTACTTATTTCCCGTGGGCGAACGCAAATTAGAGTTAAATTATATACACATTTACAAAATATATAATATTAATGTTATGTACATACTGGACATAAGCGTATAGATTTAAAATAAACATCTGGGGCGTGTTTAGAGTACAATATTTATAATTATATATTGTTTTATCACACCAAATTGCACAGACTCCACGTACATATTTGCATACATATAGCCGGGCAAACGACTATTTTAATATAGAACCACTGCGATAGGTGGATTAAAACCGTTGAAACGATTTTTTAAATGGTTTTCGGTGTATGTAATTTTATAGAAAGTAATAAAATAATTCACGTGCACCTTTAGTTTTGTAAAGACGATTAATTTTATTAATAACTCGTCAGCATTGACCGATATTGATCGTTACACGTGATTAAAAATATATTTCCAATACGAATACTTTCGATTTGTACAAACATCTTTATATCGACATTCAGTAGATATACGATTGTGTCGTCGTGCAGAAAAAAGTTGTTTAGGTATTTTATCGAGGTTCTTGATATTTCCTTTTTTTTTCATATATATATATATATATATATTTATAATTAACTCACACGATTTGGGTCAAAAAAATTTACATTTTTCTGCAAGATAAATATACATCAATAGGAGTCTTACTAATATTTTAGAGTATATTAATAAGCTCATTGTTTTATCCAACTATTCAAATGATATTATCAATTTTTTTATGCGTAGATATGAATTGAGATGGCAGTGAACTGAATTTCAACGCGATACTATAGTATTTTGCCATTTTCACTAAAACTATACTCATAGACGAATATTATAATGACGCTCTGGTGGCACTCTAGCCTTTTTTTTTTATCTATACAATATTTTGTTTATAATATGGATTTTATTTCGTTATAAAATTATAATCGTAGAAACATTTTAACGTGTAATCCATAATATTTATACTATTTATATACTATTTATACTATTTCACCCGTTGTTTCAATAACAGACGATTATATTATTGGTACATTATGATACTAATTGCCTCTCGAAGTCCAAAAAAAGTAATAATTTTTATACGAATTGCCTCCCGACTATATGTGAGTTGCCTCCTAAAGCAAACAACATTATATCGTAAACGAAAAGGGTCTAGTACTAGCTGCCTCCTGATAGGCAAGCAATAAATGTATAAGTGGTGCCAAATATTTTCAAACTTCATATATAAAAATATATTTGTTTTTTCCAAATCGTAAATTATGACTTTTATTATATTCGATATTCAATACGATTATACCTATGCAACAATACATTTAGATAATATACTCACTTGTGTAATGATAAGATATAATCCAAACCAGACCAGAACCAGACTATAAAAAATAATATACGCTACCGTAAATAATTGAGTATCTTTTAATTGATTTTCATTAATTTTCTCGTTCTCATTGTACAATTTTATTTTTACAAATTATTAAGCCATTTAAAATGTTTGAATTAGGTTTTAGAATAGACCAAAGTTAAGTGCGAATCATGTTTAGTCAAAAGGGTAAATGTATTAAAATAATTAAAGGCTTTAAGTTTAGTTTTCAAAAGAAGTTAGCCTTTAGCAAAGAACTGTGGTACCGTACGACAAAATTATGTTGGGCTTTTTTAAAAATAAATGAACATGACAAAGTATAATTGAACGAAAGTAAATTGAATCATAATAATCATGTACCATTATCTGAAAAAGTAGGGCTTGAAACCAAACATTTTTTTTTTTTGATTTCCATTTCGGTTTCGGATAACGGTATTCTTTTCTTTTTAATTTCGTTTTCGGTTTTAGATTTTAGTTTTTATTTTTTTTTCAATTTGGGGTTCATTTTCGATTCATTTTTAGCAAAAATTATATTTATGTAGAATTAATGACAAAACATTGAATATTCATGAAAAATTACAAATAAATTAAATTTATTTTTAATCCCGAAATAATATTATTAGACATTTATAAATTATACACCTGTCACCATAATATACGGCCTAACCTATTTTATTATTGTTGTTATTTATAAAATAAATGACCAAAGTACTTATATCAATGTTATACCAAAACAATTACAATTATATATAAAATTTAAGTAGGTATACTTTATAACATTTTACATTTATATACTATTATGTGTTATACATTATTAGTTTTTAATAGTTATTAATTATTACATATAATGAGTATATAAATTAATACTGTTTACAGTGTATATATTAAAGTCTAGACTGAATTTGCAATCTAATTACTTGCATCTCACGACTACTATATTTATACCTTATTTCTGCCGAACGACCTAACACTCCTCAGTTGACCGTATTTATAACAACTTAGCTATTTAAGTTTAAATGGGACATTAATTTTAATACATAATTGTTTTCGGTATTAAATATTGGTATTTTTTTTTCCGATTTCGTTTTTACTTTCGGATAACGGTATTTGTTTTTTTTTTTATTTCGTTTTCGATTTCGATTATCGGTATTTAATTTTTAAGATTTCGATTTCGATTTTGAATACCGATATTCATTTTTTTCGTTTTTGATTTCAGTTTTGAATACCGTTATTGATTTATTTCATTTTTGATATCGATTTCGTTTTTTAACGGTTTTAAACGGTATTCAAAAACGGTATCAAATACCGGTTCAAGCCCTGCGAAAAAGTACTTAATAGACAAAAAATATTTTACTCTTTAAAAATAAATGCAGTCACTGAAACATTATTATGTGAAAGACCTTCAATGTTACTAAATGCAAAATTAGGACTGCATAAAATAAATACTATTATAACTATCAATGTATTATACATAAAAATATGTATACATTCTCCAAACTTATCTTAAACGAGCAATTAAGTTCATAATGTTTTAAATGAGAATGATATTACATACGAAAATGATGAGTTTTTATTACATAAGGATTTCAAAAGTGGAATTGTTTAATTTTCTACTAAAACTGATTTAAAATTCTTCGTAAAAATCGATACTTTATATGTAGATGGAATATTTCAATATTGTATAAAATATTTTAATCAATTATTCACTATTTATGGATTAATAAATAATTATTACATACCTCTTGATTTTTTTTTATTAAATGATAAAAGCGAATAAAAATATATTAGCACATTTATTGTATTAAATACGTTGTATTTAAAAATGGATAGCAATTAGTTAAACATAATTTATATTAACTTTGATAAAGCTATAGACTTATACAACTCTATAACATGTATATTGCCAAATATTTCTATAAAAGGATGTCGATTTTATCTTGGTTAAGCTTGATGGCGTAAAATCCAGTCACTTGGATTATTTTCGCAATACTCTAAAGACGATTCGATTAGACAACATTTGATGTATGTATTGGGCCTATCATTTTTGAAGCTAGAAAAAGTTTGAGTTATGTTTCCAATAGAAGTAGCAACCGTATAGTCTTTACATATTAAAATAACTCAATTGTCAGGCTATTTAGTTTATAAATATATATATATATATATATACCAGAGGATTCAATTTTTCCTCCTCAACTTTGGATACAAAAAAATTCAAGCATTCAGCGCACAACCAATGTATGCGAATTCTTCCTTAGCAAATTATAAATAGACATCAGCAATGGTTATTTTGAGTCTCCGTATTCTTACATATAAATTTACCGAAATCTTGAAACTAATTCAGACCAGGAATGTAATTTTATGTTATTTTAATACAAAATTCTAATTAACACAACAAAACACATGTACGATTATAAACTAGAAACAAAATAATTGTTATTGATTCGTTAAAGCACTACTACTTAGTTCCGCAAATATTGTGGAAAAATACTTGGGAGGCAACTCGTTTATAATTATGAAATACCTGGTCATTGGAGGCAATTAGATAAATTTTTATTTACGATAAGGATGGGATGTTATCCGTATATTTTGAGAGGCAAATAGTATGCGTTGTACATTATATTATCTCAATACTGTTGTGGTATGTTAGTATGGGGTACCTGAAAAAAAAATAAATAACAAAATTTACCGCACGCAACGGAACTAATATCTATAGCCGTCGGGCGTTACACAGAATTTCTCTCGGAGCACTTTTTAAACTAAATTACCTGTCGAACTGTGGCGAATCTTCTTCCTGGAACGTTTCCGCTATCATGTGCAGAGACTTGGGCGTAATTTCGTGTAGTCCGTAGTAATGTGTCAAGTTGTACTCGATCCTCCACTCGTCTGGATCGCCGTTGGTTGATGATTCTAGATCGATGTAGTACTGCGTGTAGTCTAAAATCTAATCGAACCAAAACATTAAATAAACAAAGCTTTGATGGTAGTTTCAAAGGTCTCGGCTCTAGGGACATGTTATGATAGAAGGTTTACCTCTGTCGGCAACGTCTACTCTCAAAAGAAAAACTTTTTTCCGCGCAGGGTACATTTTAACGCGTCGTCTTACCGTTTCAATTCCCAAACTAACGGTAACAATGGCGTAACAATATTGCGGAAATCGATTACGGACGTGTATCTCTGTAATTTCATACACAGAACGCGCAGTGGTGTAATGAAAACAGTCATCGAATGTCTGGGACCTTAGTCGGGTGACGTTCGATCCGACTGGAGTCGGTGGTTTTCGGGACTCAAGTGTTCTACAATGGGTATGCACGAGTTTACACAACACACGGTGGTGAGATACGTTTTTCGAACAAAACGGTTTGGATAAAACGCGGTTTCAATTGTTACCGGGAAATCTGCGAACGCATAACGTGTTCGAAACTAAGGTTCGGATCCTAGGAGTGGTAAATTTCCGCCTCTACGTTGCCGCCGAATGCTGATGCAGATATGGTATGAGTGAAGCAATGGAGTGCAATGAAATTTAATAAAAATAACAATTTCGTTACACTTACGTGTCCCGTGTTTGTGTTGAACTTGTATAGTCTCAAACCTGGGTTGTTGGACACGCCGGGAGACTTGTTAGGCGATAACGACGGTGCGATCATCATCCATGACACCGGTTTCTCTGTAATACACATCAATTCGCGTACGTTATTTACGACAAAAAATAATATTTTACATCTCAATACGCAATGATGTATAGCACATTAATAATTTGAGCTAAGTCAGAAAATTAAAATGAGCATAAAAACAACGATATTGCACGTGTAATATACCATGTTACCGTTTGAATTTAAATTTTAGCAAATTTCGTCATTACAAAGACTTTATAATGATTCCAAACCATATACGAATCGGACAGTATTATTTGGTTATAGTCAAAATATCCGAAGATACGTGAAGATTATTCTTTTGTAAAATGTATATTTTAATTAAATTTGAGTTTCATTTGTGTATATCATATATTTTTGTAATATTAAAATCTAATATAATTACGAAATTAAAATATCGTTTGTATTCTATAAAACTGTCATTCCTTTGATTATTTTTCGTCGTGAAATGTATTTGCTTAATACGACCATGAGTAGTTTAATTATAAGAGTGATTAAATGTTTAAACTATTAAAAAAAAAAAAATTATTGAGTGGTTGAAATATTACAATAAGAAATATTTCTAGGCATTCAATAAGGATTTATTCTAATTATGATTTACATTTGATCGTAAGTTGTTTTGAAATTTTTGTTGATGATATGGATTTTCATATTTTTCCTCTGATGAAATGGTCGATTAGAGATGAAAATGTGTTTCGTATTTAACTATTTTAAATTTGATACAATAATATAATATTATCATCTCATAAAAAAAAAAAAAAAATAAAAAAACTGTGTTAATAATTTTTCACGCTTTTCCCTTAGGTCTAATATAAATAATATAAATATGGATTATACAATAGTCTTCTCCATGTGCCTTAAAATATTTTAAAGAACCAAATATATGCCCTGGAGCCTTTTTTTTTTTTTTATTAAACTGTTGTCAGTACATTTTATACACATTTTATAACCAGATTTTTCCATTGGTAGTTTTATCTATATATTGCCATTGTCAAGCGTGTACGTAAACCTATTAATTTTATCCGTAATGCGAAAAATTCGACACGAATTCGAGTCAAGAACAGAAATAATTACAGGTTGTGGTAGTTTTCGAAAATATTTAAAATTAAATGAGTCATATCACGCCTAGCTCAGGTCGATAAAAATCGAATACGGACAAAAAGTTAAAAAGAAAAAACTGAAAATACATTGGAAATAATACTTGTGGACATTTTTGGTTTTTATTCATTTTCCTTTTCTACATATTAATCCCGAAACGTTTAAAACCAGGAGGTGACAATCGCGTATAATCAAATCACGTTGAAACGGTGGTGTGTTTTACGACACTTTGAAAGTTTTAACGAAACCTTCCACACTGTTGAAATAAATTGTGTCTATAAATATATATATATATATACATTTTTGTAAGCCGTTACAATATGCAATGTTTATAATTGTAAAGGATCGATACATATATGAGAACAAATACGAATACAAATACAAATAAACGTGTTCTTTAAATTCCGTTGAATTCGTTCACGAATTTACTATGAATAAATGTACTGAAAAATTTGTTCTTTTATTCGAACAATCGGTGATAGCATGGATTTGACGTAAACTACTATATTATGATAATAAATACGTACGAAAAAATATACACCATGATTCCCGAAACGTGTCGAAAATCATGTACCATAATCGAATGATAATAAAATAGGTGTGTAATGTGCATTGTTGTCGACAAACACAATTATTTATGATTCACCATTAAAATGTTTTCCCCGACGTTATTATCATTATTGTACACACACACTTGCGTCAATATAATGTTGAGAAAAATCAAATACCACAATAAAATACATTAAACCGTCATTTATATGCTGTCCATATTAAAAAGCTTTTAATATCACATTAAACGACTGATTATATTCATCAGGTATTACTTTTACTATGTAAAATTTATACTATTAAGGTGCGTGTTTTTTATCCGTCAAATGAGTTAAAATGTTTTAAGGTAATTAAATTGAAGGCATATATGCCTTTAATTTACTAAATACAAGTTTTCATTTTGTGTCGTTGGAAGTTCAGCATCTCTTCTGTCTATTACATTACAAAAGCGTAGAAAGTTTGTATCCCAAACCTTATATATTAGACTATATACCTTTAAATATATTTATAAATTTACGTTATAAAATTAGAAACTCGATGAGTATAAACTACGGTTTAGCGTGTTATTTTTCAACTCCCAGCGATTGAACTCTTGCATTTTTTCACTATTTTTCATCATATTTATCATATTAAGGCATATATTTTACGTAAAGCGAAATATATTAAAAAAAAAAAAAAAAAAAACATTGCCTTTTGTGCCATATATTGAGTCATGATTTTATTGACTTTGTATAAAACTGATGATACATTATTCATACGCAACCGGTCAGATCTTAAAATATAATAATACTCCATTTAATTACGTAATGATTTATTTATTTATTTGTATGTATAAACTATTTCTATTTATTTTTTTATTCTCGTATATTATTCACGGGTATAAACCATTTATTAATTTTTAATTTTAATTTAATTTTTAATTATTTTATTAAATGTAAAATGTACGAATCATCAAAGCTGGAAAAATCGGTTACGCTTCGACCTAAAATAAAATAAAATAGAATATTTTTTTTATTAGTCTATAATATTTTAAAACTTCACGAAAACTGTAAAGAAGCTTTATTGGATACTTTCAGTTTTTCATTTAATTATAGTATCGAAAATTCAATAACACCTAACCTAACCAACATAAAGTTATACTTTACTTCTACTTCTGTTATCGTGAAATATACTTTATTATGAGGCTTTTGATAAAGTATTACCACCTTTAAGTTTGATCGCACCGAATAAAAAAAAGAGATATAGGACCTTGAGATTACATAATCTAAAAGCTGGTATGGCATCCCCTTGTACAATTCATGTAATATTTTTATTTACACCACTGATATGTCCGTCGTCTGTAATATTATATTTTATTAAACAAAAATCACCAAGACGGCGTAACGTATAGGCTAGACGTAGTACATAACTGTATGGATACGATGCGAAGTAGATAATTTTATTGTTAACAGGTCAAATTAGTTTACAATTCTTATTTTCATTCTTATCATATAATTCTAATTTCTGATCTTATAACATTTAAAGTGATCATAATATTCGTTTATTCATTATTTGTACTATGGAATGTTAATAATAAATAATGTTTTGGATTGTTTTCAAAATCAACTAGAACATTCAATAAATAGTTTTAAAGATACATTTTATAATACTTATTTTTTCCTTGTGTTATAATAATTATAACTACAATTACTGTATATTAAGCACGATTATAAAATATTTAAACTGTAAATCACCAACGGTTAAGCATTTTATACGTAGTTTATGGATGAAAATAATTCATTTTTTAAAGATTAGATACCACTGATACCAGGTGTATGTTTAAAAATATAAGTGTTCGTACGACCGAAATGCATCGATAACGCAACATTAATAATGGATTAAACCGACAACGACATAAAAAACACCTACCTAATTTTTTCAGTAGGATATTATCATTGCGTCGAGGGATTATAATATGTGTATTACGTATTATTTTATTGTTATTATTATTATTCAAATTTGCGGCAAATGAAACAAAAACTTAGTAACCATGGTAATCCTATATGGTTAAAGTGCATATTGTGTAATACGTATTTATACGTAGGATCTGTTATCTTTTCTTTAGCTCTCTCTTTATACATATATAATATATGCGTATGTATGTGTGTACTAAAATAAAATTTATTAAATAATTTGTCTCTCTTCTCCCTCTTTCTCTTTCTCTTGGTCACTTGGTTTCTGCGATTATTTTGTTTTGGTTTTTTGAGTCAGGATTACCATCGTGTATCATCTCCGTTGTTAACCCGTAATGATTATATGCAAATTTTACTATCTAATCTGGCAAAACCTTGACGCGGACCATGCGGCAGTTGTTATCACAACGGCCGTCGATATGACGGGAATAACGGGTATCTATCTTTTCTGATCAACCACTGGACACGAGATGCACCGTCAACGTAACATCCGGTTAAACAATTTATCATAGGAGTGATACCTGGAACGGTCGCGACGACGTCTGACACTCTCCACCACCGGGTCTGTCTGTGAGTGTGTTCCGAGATTTCGACAATCATGATCACGGTTCACAAAAAACATCATTTTTGTCATTCTGGTTCATTGTTCGTTGTAAATAAATGTTAACCTACTACCACGACATGTCTCGTTCTTTTATTTTCATTTCACATTGTTTAATTTCCATTCACCATCATATCTTGTTGCGTTGTGCGTTCTACATCGGACGCGTTCCCAAACAACCTGTCATTAATCGACCCTGTAAGTAGTTTAGTCCGTCGATGGACCACCCTGTTTGATTAAACGATAAGTTTGTCATCATTCACGGTCGGATTTGACGGTTACACGGTACGTGGGATCGAATATTTTAATAACGCGCAGAAAAATTTAGTTATTTTATACATATTCAATAATTTTTGAAAACGATTGGCGTGGAAAATAAATTCCCTTAGAGATTGGAATAAAATTTATAATATATAAGTAAATTATTATTTCATAATTCATACATAATATATTATATATTTGACGACCGTGGACACTAAACGACAAAGGAAATCTGCTCCCAAAATATGAAACGCATAAAATATTATAAATTATTAATCCCGAGTAGCAGTTAGAAAACAATTAGCTATGTAAAATGTACAAGACTCAAGCAAATAATAATGATTCTAATTCGTTATTATTATTATTATGAAATGTATAGTCCCTAGGTTTAATGAAAATAATAAAAATTTAAACAATAATTATAATAAGCAATTAAGACTTATAAAAACTATAATTATAAATACCACCTTAAAAATGTATACAACAGGTGGGTTCCATACGCAAAAGTGGTCATATTGTATATTTAACGTAGTGCGGTCGGAACGTTTTTTTCTTTTCGTTTTACATAATTATCAGAAATTCAATATTAAAAACCTCGATAACCATCTACAACGTAGTGCCGTTTGACCCTAACGTAAGTATATACAGCCATTATATCATTATTTAACTGAGGATATTTCCATAATAGACCTCATTATCTTGTATATATGCGAGGGTTTATCTTTGGATTTGAGAAATTCTTAGAAAAAAAAAGTTCTAAGTTTTAACAGCAAAATATTTTAAACGATATCGGCAAAAACGATTAGGACGCAGTCGAATTTCGGCTTTTATTTTCCTAAGATAAAATTAATTAATTTTTATATATGTAGTATATGTGTATATTATACTCACTGTTTTGATCGTAGACGATACGAAACGTGTCGGAGTGCAGGTGACCGCAGAATTGACCAACAATAATGTTCGCAAACCTCCGGATCATTAACAGGTATTTCACACTGTATTTGTCGTGAAACGTAGGCGCCTCGTCGTGGTCTCTCTCGTTTGCTCCCGGACACATGTGACTCACCAGGTACACCTATGAAAATACAACGTGAAAGTAACGACGACGGACAATGAAATAGTGTACACAAAATTAACGTGGCGTGTGCGGTTTCGTGGATTTTATTATTATTTTTTTTTTTTTTTTTTTTGCTTATTTTCCAGAGAGAAAACTTTGAATTTCGGTAACACTAACACTGGAAGGTTTCAGAAAGTTTGTTTCGGTACACAATCTTCATCTGATTTTCACGAATAATCTGATTTCATTACAATCGTTTTGGTCCTGGTCAACTTTTAAACAATTTAATAATGTGAACTCGGTTAAGACGCATTATGTTTATACTAGTCATAGTATAACCTAATTTTGTATTCTCGGTTATATAACGTTGTGATCCAGTCGGAATTTCAAAATTAGTAATCTTATTTTGTAATTTACAGAAAAACTTCGTCATTGTGTTGAATATAATATTTTTGCGTTTAATAATATTACCCAGCTTCATTTGTAGTTGATAAAAGCATTAAGAACCGTAAAGGAATCGTATAACTATGTGAATTATACGCGTGACGTTATAAAAAAAAAAAAATCCAAATTATGTATATTTTAAAAAAAAGTTACTTATTTTTATTATTCACTTTGATGTACATGCATCCGGCAGGCGAGTCGCGTTTATTTAATTGAGTATTTTTCATGTCACATAGGACGTGTTTATTTAATATCAACGAGTAATTTAAATATATTTTACGAAAATAATTATTATGTTAGACCTGGTGTGGAATGTTTGTAAAGGGGAATATGATATCGTAAGATAATTACGCACGTAACTAATTCTTGTGTATCAATAGAATATTAATAAATCGTAACGAGTAAAAAAACACCTGAAACGTGCTGATATAAGTAGACAATTTACGTGAACATAAAACGATTTTAATATAATTAAAATTCAAATAAAATCCAAATGGTGTCGTTCAAATAACAATAGTTTATGTACGATATGATATAAAATCGTTATTTTATTGATCTTAATATTTAACATAGTGGTGACATTTTCGGTTAGGGTTATCATTGAGACTGATCTTTACAGAAAAATTGAGATTCGTTCAGTATGAAGTCGCACGGTTCGTCAGAAATATAGAAATGTAAAATACTTTTTTTTCTTAATAGGTATCACCGTTATTATTTCTTAATTACTTGTATTAAAACAAGAAAAAAATTACAATTTCTTCTTATTTTTTCAGATTTGCAAATTAACACAAAATCGTACCAAAAGTTAGTCGTTATCATTAAATATTGAATGTCAATATGACATACGTACGTGTATGAGGAAATATGACTAAAATATTTTTTTCAACTTTTAAACGGTATAAATGTTATTTTCATATTCATGTTAACGATTGCATCAGTATTATTATAAACATTTTCATTTTTTTTTTACCGTTAGAGGTTTATATACACTATTTCGTTACATTTTTGATATTCTTCAACCATTCATCGAATTAAAATATAGTTAAAGTACTCACTGTTTCTTTGTTTTTTACAGATTTATTTAAGATTTTTTCCAGCCATTCAAGTTGTTCATCGGGGTTGACATTTTGATGGCCTTTCAATGTGGAAAATGCATTTGAATTGAGCGCGATTATTCTAAGTTTGTTTCCCTTTTGCTCAATCGTGTAATATCCTCCTGCAAATAAAATAAACGGTTTTAGTACACGATAATTTTTCAGTTTACTTTTTAATTTACCATTATTTGAGTTATAAACACGTAATTAATCAACAGGTTAACGTGAATCTGATTTTGTAATAACTTGATACGGAACATATGGTTAATTCGACTTACAAATATAGAATATGCTACGTACAATAAAATAAGAATACCGCAGAATTTTAGGCTATCAAAATGTATAATGTACACGTGATAAACGATGTGCCTTTGCTATTTATACCTATTGTACACCTATCTGAAAGGCATTTCTTTAATCGTTTGTCCATGTTTATATTTTATATGAAACAACAAACTTGACCTTTATCCATACGCAAATTACTCGCATTTCTGGCGTATTGAGTATACGTCATGCCACGACCACGTAACGGACCCTTGCAAATAAACGCTCGTGGAACTCTCACAGAATTTAAAATTCGTTCAATGTTCCAACTTTGCGACACTTATATTATTACGTTTTTCCGTAAGCTTCCGAAGTATAACATCACCATTGCAAGCCCCACAGCATTTTCATCGTATAAAATTAATTGTATAATTACAAACTTTAAAATTAATAAGCATTATCGTTTAGTTTTAAATTATAAGTGTTTGTTAAATGTTTATCTGCAGCGTGGTCACATTAAAGTGCGCCAAAGAGTCGTAGTGCTATACCATTAAAATACAAATTGTATTTCTGTCGGAACGATAACTCTACGCTATAGTTATATATCATAACTGCGAAGCTATGTGTTTCAGATTAAAGTTAAAAATAAAAATAAAAAAACAGTAAAAAGACTTATTCAATATTAGTTAGTTTTTTTTTTTTTTAATATAATATATACATGCACAATACGGAATTAAAATTCTAACTCATTTTTATATTTATTTTTGACACGTTTTTCAAAATTCGTTGATAATTTAAATTATTTAATTGAAAATATTGCGTCGTAGTAAAAATGAACTACCTTACGTTTGGATTGGGTTTTTATAATTCTGGTCAAATTTAGTACAATAACACTGGTTAATATAACAGTTGCGTGTTTCATTATACAGACAAATAATTAATATATTACACTTTTTCGTGGTCGTGTCTGTGCATTTTGAAATAATTGTTTTTTTTTTTTTAACATTAAAATAAAATCACTGTGTATTTTTATGACAGTAATTTTAAGTTTCTTATATTTTTTTGGCATTATTTTAATATTATTATTATTATTTTAAAAACTGTTTCTACGGAAAGTTAATATTTTTATTTTAATAATAAGTTGCACAAGCAATGATATGTGATATTCTGTGTAATGGGTTCCGGGACATTTTTCAGTTATAAATTACACATTGTCATGCATTTACATCACTGGATGGATTCTTCCATCAAAACCACAACTAGACTGCTAATTTCACATAAATTATGTTCTTTGTAAAAATATACAGATTGTCTAAATAAAAGTAAAAATTAAAAACATTAAAAATAAATAAATCACACAAATCATTAGAGATTTCTGATTTTTTTAAGATAAAGATATTGTGATTATTTTAAATTACGAAAAAAAATATATTGCGTTATAATATCGCAATACTATATACTAACATTTTCATTCTTGTAAAAAAGCATATTAATAAACAGAAGTTTAATACTGAAATCTGTACGCTTTTTTGTAGTTATAAAATATTTTTCATAAAAAAAAAAAAAGTAAAATCACAATCTACCTATACTAACACGATTACTTTATTCACCGTTAAGTTTCGTTCATAAAACAATACAATGTATAAGATTAAATCAACAGGTCGTAAACAAAACTATTCAATTTAAATTTAATTAAATATTTTTAAATATGATTTTATATGTATAAATTATTTTATGACTATTAGATTTTTTTAATGCAAACAAAATTAATTGACTTATCAATTAATAAAATAATAAATTCATAAATAAAATACGAGTACTCAAGATGAACATCTACGTGCACGTATTATAGTTAAGTAAAATAATAAGTATACTGTATAATTAAAAAATGCCAATCACAACAAAATTCAGGTCACAGGAAGTATAAGACACATATAATAATTGTTATCTTATTTCAAAATGTGTGTTGTGTCTAAATATAAAATTAGATTCGGCGTATACGATAATACTAATAAATAAATATATTCTAAAATAATATAATATATTCATTCAAAATTGATAAGTACTATCTGCTTAATTTCGAAACGAAATAGTTTTAATTTCATGTTACTCCAAGCTTCGATGATTGAAACAAGAATCGTCCAGATGAGATTATTCAACGAAACTGCCCTAAAATAATTACAGTTCAATGAATAGGTTAAATATAATCTAAATAATTAAATGTTGGTCAAACATTTTTCATTAAATATTATATCCAATTATACTTAATGTAACACTAGTACATGGCAGTTGCCACTAAAATGAACAATAAACAAAGTGCAAGTATTTCAATCAAAAATCCTAAGAACTATATTAAACGTCCACGGGCACAACAAATAAACGACATTTCATGACGTCTTCTTTATCCCCAAAATTACATCACATTACTATCGAACAAGTTTCAAGGATAGTAAACAAAATCAAGAACAATACAACTTGAATGAAACAGAACTGCAATAATTAATTCTCTGTCTTTATATATAGTCATACATTACTATTTGTAATTCATTTTTAAATCAAGATATAATTTTATCATAAAGTTAAAATAACAAATTGGTCGATTAAACTTAAAAAAAATATTATAAAAAAAATGTATACAAGCTATTAATAATAGCAAACTACGTTACACAAAGGTTTTTATATTTTGTTCCATATACGACCCTTCCAGTTTTCATTTATAAGATATAACCTCACAACGAACAAGGGTAAAAGAACGATACACGATAAAAGTAAGAAGAAAAATTTATTGGTTCGTTACTTCTTTGACGAAAAATAATATTTATTAAACATGTTTTAACAAGTCCGTTGTTATTAGAAAAAACAACATTAATTATGAAACATAACTTTTAAACATAACAACATTTTGAATGATAAAATATAAATATTTGATTTTTAAAATAAATACATTAATTATTTTGGCACTTAGGCTTACAATAGCGTTTAAAATACCTCCCATATACACTCTATATATACTCATATATAGCTCTTTTATTTTATATCTTGTTTTAATTTTCAAAATAATTTTATTGAAATTTTCATATTATTCAATAGATTATAACTAGTATTATAAGGTAATATTGCTAATGATTTTTTTTTTTTGTAATTTTTCGTAAAATATTGACTTTGTATCCATTATAAAAGTTTTTCTAATACTGTGATGATAAAACGGTACAGAAATTGTACGTATTATGTACACGTGTTGTTACATTAAATTGTGGTAGCTGAAAAAACTTGTTATTCGTAATAGTAGATAACCTGCGTATTCTTGATGAGTTGTAATTTATGAAGCTTATTCTACAATCAATCATGAAACTTTACCGCTTATTCGGTTTATGACTTCATGCATAATGTCTAGAAAATTAAAGATTTATGTGCGTTGCCTTATGATATTTGAAATTTTCGTGTAATTCCCATGAATGAGACATAACAACGGATTATCTTTATTGCCATTAGATTTATAAATATGTTATTGCATTTCAAGCGGAGTCACCAAATGTCCGAGTTAATGAAGATAGTAAATCCATCATTTTACCAAGTATTTTATGTACATTATACTAGGAAATATTTGAACGTATATTACAGAATATAATTTTGAATTTGATTAGAAGTTATTCTTGGATAAATTTAATCATAATTAGTTAGTAGTGCCTGTTTTGATCGTTCATTTGACACGGTGACATAAAAATATATTCAATTGCACAGCATCAGCTTTCGAATTGTCTTTTTTTCAGAAGTTATAAAATGAATATATTAGATATTTAAACAATGCGTTAGAGCAAACGGCCATCGGACATTGAACCGCAGCGGGATTATGTATATACTATAATATATGCGCATATGTGCTTATATCAGTGTAATAGGGAAATAAAAAAAAAAAAACCGAAAAGGTCACTGAAAATGTTACATCGATAGCGGCTCGTAAATTCAACGTTACGTCATTATATCGTTGAACTCATGTTATAAATGATTACAATTTATACGTGTATGTAATATCGTTGACAGCCGCAATACCTGAGCGTAGTACACGGCATTGCGAACAGGGGGAACTGTTAAAACAAATATATTTATCCTCGGTAATAGGAACAATATTGCTCTATGAAAAGATTATCGACATGTACGAATCAATATTTTTTCTCCGTGAAAACACTAGTATTGGACGAGTTTTGAAATAGTTTGAATTTTTTTTTTTTTTTGTTAAAATAAATAAATAAATACATTAAATAAATAATACATAAATACATTTTTAGCCTGAAGCATTATTGCACTTATAAAGTACGACCGGTTATGGATAAAAAATTCATCTTCAGGTACACATACAAAGTCAATATATAGAAAATATATAGCGATTTTATTGACTTTATATATATATATATATATATATCTGATGAATTCATAATTCTAAACCGGTCGTACTTTACAAATATAATAATACTCCAGGCTAAGCGTTTATTTATTTCTATACATAAACTATTAATTTATTTATATATATATATATATATATATATACATATATATTTTCTTTTCCCAAGGGTTAACGGTTGTTAGTGAAACCCAGATGATTGGATACACCGTAGAAGGGGAAAAACTTACCGATTTCCTACAGACATTTTGTTGGGATGGAGGATACCTAACCCATAAAACAAAAAAAAAAAAAAACGAAGAAAGTAATATAGTCCAATTGTTTTCCTCTTTACGAGAAAATTCAAAAAATAATTACTGTGATATTACAACATTGATAATAGTTTTAAGATAATTGCGGGGATGATAGTCAATGACGGAACCGGTTTATTTACCAGCAACACGTATTAGCACACAAGTT